ACCCCCGCAAAATCCGTCTTCCTGCCCCTCGGTCCTCAACCCGCGCATCCCAGACGGCAGCGTCCGCTGTCCCGTTCCGCCTCTTTCACTTCGGCTCCCGCCCCCGCCCCGCCTCTCCGCTCCCCGCTCCGTAATTGCTCCGCTCGGCTCCCCGGCGCGGCCCCTCACCCGGGTGGAGCCGATGTCCATCATCACCTCCTCGAAGGCCGCCGTCTCTTCGGCCTGACGCTGCTTCTGCAGCGCGATCTTCTCACTAAACTTGCGCGGATTGGAAGCTGAGGCCGTGGCCGAGCCGGGCCCGTTCGCCCCCGACGTCGCCATCTTCCTCCTCCGTCTCTCCCCGCCACCCTCCCAGCACAAGCCACGGCCTCTGCCGCGGGCTCCCGCCCGGGTCTTCCACCCGTAGCCGCCGCCGCCGCCGCCGTCTCAGCGAGCACCGCGAACCCGGCCCCAGCCTAGCCCTGACCCGTGGCGCGCGGGGGCTTCAGGGAATTGTAGTTTGTTTACGTGACCCTCTCACAGCTCCAACCATGCAGTACTGAAAGGAAACGGACACCAATTCCCAGCAGCCCTATTGACTCCGGGGAACTGGGGACTTTGCTCCTCCCACTCGGCTCCTCCCTGCGCGCGGTAAGCTGGGAAAAGTAGTTCTAAATTAGTCTGGAGCTCAGGAAAGCGTAGGGGAGTGAGGGGAGAAGAAATGAAAAGGAGAGAAAAAGGAAGGGGTAGAGACAGGGAGGGAAGAAGGAAGAGACAAAAGAGGGGAAATGTCATCTTCAGAGAAGGGTACAAGGGCCTGAATGAAAATAGTGAGACCAGGGAGACTACTAAAATAATGTAAACATCTGGGACTCAGGCCCTGTCAGGCTGGCCACATGCCCACCACTTTCCCAGTACAAATGAATCAGATTCTGTACAGATGTAGAGAAACATCTTTTATTTGGGTAACATGTCCCAAAACAGATCAGTAAGTAAAATAGATTCTAGAGAATATGGCCCTGTGCATAGCCCTACCCCCCCAAAAATAACCCTGGGGGTGAACATTCCCCTTCCCCCTTGGGCTCCTATGGTATAAAAAAATTTGGCAGCACAATGTTGATCACCTGGGTATGGGGTACCATGTCCATGTCAGTATTCCCAGGGTGCAGCAATAGTACGGGCCGCAGATCTGCCAACCCTCCCTCCACCCCAACTCAGCAAACATTTCTGCCCCACCCCAGAATCTGGGACTAAAATAAGGAGCAAGAGGGCACCCTTCACTGAGGTGCCCTGGCAGGGCTCAGCGCATCACTGTGCTTTGAGAAAAAGGGAGAGCATTTTATTTGGCACTGTAAAAATACAATAAGCAGGACTGAAGAAGCCAGAGAAGGTACCAAAACTGGCAAAAAGAGGCCACTTGGCACTAGTGTCTTGAGAGAGGGGAACTGGGAGATAGATGTGAGAGTAGGAGCTAAGAAAAGTAGGACGCGTACATTCCAAATAACAAGACTGAAATGGGCTAGAAGCAAGAGAACTGCTGACTCTGGGCCTATGTCCTCTCTACTTCTATCCCATAGTATCTGGGTACCCACCTTTAGCCTCCCCAGTGTCAGTTTGTCCCTGTGTAGTGTCTGCCTGATTCTAGTACTCAGTGTCTTCCCTAATACTAATGTTTCTTGATCACGTCTCTAGTGACTTGACCATGCCTTGTCTCTTGGGCCTGGGGGCCAGGCTCTTGTCTACCCACTTCTTTCCCATTGGTCAGATAGTCCCAAAGGCTCCATCCCCACCTCTCAGAGAACTCTTTGGTCCTCAATACTTCCCTTCCCCACTCCTAAGGAGGGGAGGCAGGTCAAGGGTACCTGGTACCCAATCTCCCCTGCCCCTCTTGGAGCCCCCTAGACTTGGATGAAGAGCAGGCCAGTAAGTAGGGCAAAGCCTGACAGCAGCAGAATGACCTTGAGGATCCTCTGCTCGGAAGTGGCCAGCTCCTGGGGCAGGATTTCCAGAAAGGTGATATAGAAAAAGGTGCCAGCTGCCATGCCCTCCAGTACAGACTGGGCCAGCTGGTGCAGTGGACCAGCTGACTCTGCCAGAGCTGCACCCAGCCCAATGCCCAGAGGTGTCATGCATGAGAAGAGAATGCCACAGCCAGCCACCACCTTTGCTCGCAAGTGGCTCTGCAGCAGCCTCAGGGACAAGCTGACTGCCAGAATACCCTTATGGAGCAGCAAAGCCAGGCACAGCTCCATGGCCCGAGCCCGGTCTCGCTGCAGCCCCACTGCCAGCCCCTCAAACACCGAGTGCAGAGCCAGGGAGAACACCAGTACACTGGCACGCAGGGCTGAGGGGGCTGCCAGAGCTCCGCTTGCCTGTGGGACGCCTGGCCCATCATGCCAGTGCTGCGCCCCACCATTCACTGTTCCCAGCAGCGCCCTTGTCTCCTCTCGAGGTGGTGGCACTGACTGCTCCTTATAAGCCAGTGTGATCTGCTCCATCACCAGGACCAGGAAGAAGCCCATAGCCAGGATGAACTCTTGTAGGGGGAACTGGAGCTGTGGGGAGAGGAGATAGCAAGGAGTTCAAGAGACAGACCAAGTATGGGGAAGAGGAGTCAGAGGCAGGGTCCGGCGGAGTTACACAGACATGGGGTCCCACACAGACATAGGGCCAGTCTTGGTCACACAGATATAGTCACTTGGTGACAGACACAGAAAGATACATAATCACAAAGATTCTGGTGTCACAGTGTTACATGTGACACCAAGATTTCTCAACTTTGGCACTATTATATTTGGAGCTAGATAATTCTTTGTTGTGGAGGGCTGTCCTGTGCACAGCCTCCCTAACCTCTACCCATGTGATGTCAGTAGCAGCATAACACCCTCCTTCCCTAAGCTGTGACAACCAAAAGTGTCTCTTGACATTACCAAATGTTTTTTGGGGGCAGGGGCAAAAACACCCCCAGTTCAGAATCACTGATGTAGACATACACATAGTGTCACATGCAAGCACACAAGAGTCACACATTGGCCCACCTTCCCAAACGCTTACATACAGAACCACACACTGTCCCAGGGACATTCAGACTTACAGTCACATGGAGAAACAGGTCACTCAGTTGCAAACACACAGGATATATCCAGTGTTACTTCCTTGGTCATAGGGAAATAGAGGAAGAACCCAGGGCACTCTCATCTCACCACCACCCAACTGTCTCAGTTTTTCCTAAGAGACTTTCCTATGCTTTGGACTTGACCTTCCCCATATCCTACTTATTTGGGCCTTTTTGGCAACACCAAGCCCCTGGGATTGCCTCCTACCCTTCCCAAGCCTGTAGGGACCTCTTTCTCCAATCCTTCAAGAAAGTGGTGAGAGGGTGAAGATGATTCTTGGAGTGCTGTCAACTTCCTGGAGGCTGGAACTGAGAAACCCTCAGAGTAGGTCATACACCTAGTAGTAAGTTTCCTCACACTGCCTCAAAGGGTACATAGGGGTCACAAAGGGACTGGGGGTAACCCACAAAAAAAGTTATGCCCTATAACTAAAAATCACAATTCACAGGTTTGTTAGGGGCAGAGATGTTGCTCATGTTCTATTGACCATGATTGTTAGCTATAGTTATAAGAAACATTAATCATGTTCTGTTAACTGTGATTGTTCTGTTCTAATTAGAAAAAGCACTTTCTAACCTGGCTGGGAGTTGTAGCCCCCGCACACGGGAATTACCCTTGGAATGCGGTCCATTCTCCTTTTCAATAACTACCTATCATCAAGGTAAAATTAACAGCCTTGTTCTCAAAACAATGGAATCCTGGAGGCACCCGCCCTTTGTGACCTCCAGCCCACGTTGCTTGTAACCTGTTAGCATTATACCTTGCCTACTTCCCCATGCCTGTAATTCCTACTGTGATCTTTGTCCATCTACCCATTATAAGCAGCTGGGTTGGGGGCCGCAGAGCAGATTTTTGTGGATGACCCTTACTGCTCTCCCAAATTGCCAGCAATATTGGAAAAAGTGCTCACATATGATGCAACCCTGTCTCTGCTTAATTGGCTCAAGTGGTGACAGGCAGCCAGATCCATTGTTGTCCAGTTTCAGGTTCATATCCAAGAGCCTTCCACACAGTCATGGAGTTATATCGGAACAGATCCATACAAACCACCTCTCCTAGAGGTATGCAACTGAATACACTCACATACACAGGGTAACATGCAGCCAGCCAGCCAGTGCTTACCGTCACGTGCAGAGCTGCCAGGGCCTCATCTATGGCAGACAAGTAGTCAGGTAGCAGGTCCAGGAGACAGGTAGCCAGAAAGACACCCCCAGCAAAGCAGCTTACAAGGCTCAGGGCTTTTTGGCGGAAGGCTGGGCAGGAGTGAAGCACAAAGGGGAATGAGCAAGTGAACCTCCTCCAGGCCCCACTACCCCAATCCAAGCAATGGTCACTCTTGTCTCCCCCTCTTTAGGTTACCTTCCTTAGCCCCAGAGCCTTCCCTACCTCAAGCATCCATGGCAGCAGGGGAAAGGAGAGCCTTACCTGAGGCTTCTGGATTAGCTCCAGGCCGGCGTAGCACACAGATGGGGACCAGACTGCAGATGAGAGTGAGCACCAGCAGTAGCACCAGGGCCCCCAACTTCACCTCCAGTCCCACAGGTACTGGGGGCTCCGAGGCTACTGCCTCTGGGCGCCACACCAGGAGCTCTGGCTCTCCCCAGGGCCCCATGGTGGCTGTGGTTGCTCCAGTGACTCTCAGACCTAGGAAGACAGAGTGAGTGGGGAATGGTCATGTAAGGAAAGACAGGGCCAAGGAAAGGGAAAGACTGGTCAGCAGAGTGAAGTTCCCTCTCCCCAGCCACTTTCTGACCTTCCCAGTGTGACTCATCCACTCCTGTACTGGGAACATTCATCTTTCCTCCAAGTGACTTATTCAGGGGCCCAGCAAGGGGGAAACAGAGGTATGAGGACTGTGTAGATATCTCATTACTTTCACCTGAAGCTCCCAGAGAATAGGGAACTGGGGTCCTGTAAGAAAAGTGGAGACCAGGACCCTTCTTGAAAGGAATGGATGAGGCTAAGGGGGGTTTGGGGTTGTGTAGAGATGTCGCGCGGGTAGCTTCGTGGACCACCTGAACAAGGCAAGTCTGTGTGCTGGAGCACTCTCCCGCTCCTGTTCCCCCAGTGCCTTCCTCCCAAAGCAGAGACCGGCCACTTTAGGCAACAGGCCCTAGGGGTCTGGGGTCCCGGGACGGGCTGATACAACTGAGGGCGGTGTCTGGAAGTCCAGGCTTCAGGAGGCGGGGTCCGAGGCCGCCAGCGTTCTGGGAAGCCAAAAAATGTGAGAACCGGGACTTCAGCTCCTAGAACCCCCAAGAAGCCTGGGCGGCCGACCTGAATTCCACTCCCAAGAAGCCCGCACTCACCTCCCGAGGGTCTCACTACATGGCACCAGCTCGGTTCCGGCCTCCGGCCGGGAATTCCCGCCTCCTCCCCAGCGCTCCTCCCTCCCACC